GACTGCGAGTTTTCCTTCTCCTAGGATGGACGTCGGCGTCTTGGTCCGTCGAGTCGTCCTGGTCGCTCGTTTCCAGGTTGACCCTTTCGATGTCGTCGCCTTCGGTCTCCTGTTCGCGAGTAGGAGATTTTTCCGATTTGTTCAGCATCGTGTCAGGGTTTTCTTTTCCAGAATCCTTTTCCGGCACGTTTCCCTGATCGATTCTGGGACGATCCGTAGGAGCGCCGAAATCGAGTCTCCTTCCGCGGATCTTGGTAGTTCCGCGGGGGCGAATAGCTTTGGTTCTCGCGGTTAGGGTTTCTAGCCGTTTTGCGAGTGAACCAATGAGCTTTTCCTGCTCTTCCGATTTTTTTGTTAAACTCGGAAAGCATCTTTTCGACGGTCTCGGCGTTAGCGTTTGTAGCGTTGGCCGCAGGCGCGTCTTTTGGTAGTGGTGTTTCAACGTTGTCGCGTTCGTCGCGAGTTTGGTTGTCACCAGCCATCGTTTCTTCGTTGGTCATGTTGCGGTTACGGTGTAAGATAGATCCGACCCCCCCTCCNAACTTCGGGAAAACCCTAAGTTTCCAGAGGAACCGGCTATCTGCGAGAACCGCACAACGAAAATAAGAAAACGATAACTTAGAATTTAAATGAGAATAAACGAAAATAGAGAGCAAAGAAGGTTCTTATTCCGAATCTGCGTTGAACTGGTACAAAGAGAGTAGCCGAAAACGTAAGAACTAGAAAACCCTAATTGAGATGCAGCTCACTAACAGAAAAACGGAAAGATTCCTAAATGGTAGTTTTGGTGGTGAGAGCTCTGAATTTCGTGTGTGTGCTTCTGCCCTAGACCTCCTCTTTATATGCTCCTCGTCTTGGCTATCCGATCTTTCCATTTCGCCCAGATTTGACTAAATCGGGAATTTTCCATTCTTCTCGATCCTTCCTTTTCTTCTGCGGAAATCTTCTATTTCTCTTCAAACCTTCCTTTTATGTTTAAACTTGACTTTTATTTTCTTCCTGCGAGTAAACCGTCAAAACGTTATCAAATCTGCGGGTTTGATTCCGTTGAAATCGCGAGATGGGTTTTCATCGCGTTTTAGGTCCTTTCGGGACGTTTTGCGATAAAAACCGTTTTTCCGACTTTTACGGGATCGTTTCCTGATCTGACGTCGTTTTTAATAATTTACTCGAGTTAATCGCAAGGTTTTACGATTTACTCGATTTTTTATTAAAAACACGTTTTTTACGACTTACTCGACTTTTGTTTATTAAAAAGCGCGTTTTTATGATTTTAACGAGAAATCCCGAATAAATCGTATAGTTTAGGCAAGGTTCGGTGTTTTGTTTAACCGTTGCCGTTTTATACGATTTCCTCGAGTTCTTTCCGAGAAAACGAAGTTTTACGGTTTTTATCGTAAAACTGAACGGTAAGTCGGATCGAGATGAAACGGGAGATGTTTCAGCCGTAATTTAGAATGCGATCGTATCGTAAGTTTTGAATCGGAAATGCGGGAAATCGAGACGCGGAGTGTCCGAGAAGTCTCTAGTTCGCCCATCGGCGAACTAAAGAGTGACTCTTAGTTCGCCGATGGGCGAACTAGTTGCGACTAGTTCGCGTCTTACGGCTTTTTCGGTTTTTTGCGGTTTTGTAAAACGATTCTCGAGTTTTATAAAACGATCTTCGGATTTCATAAAACGACGTTTGAGTTTTATAAAAATGATCTTCGAGTTTTATAAAACGATTCTCGAGTTTTATAAAACGGTTTCTCGAGTTTTATAAAACGGTTTCTCGAGTTTTATAAAACGATTCTCGAGTTTTATAAAACGATTCTCGAGTTTTATAAAACGGTTTCTCGAGTTTTATAAAGCGATTTCTCGAGTTTTATAAAACGATTCTCGAGTTTTATAAAACGATTTCTCGAGTTTTATAAAACGATTTCTCGAGTTTTATAAAACGATTTCTCGAGTTCTATAAAATGATTCTCGAGTTTTACAAAATGATTTCTCGAGTTTTATAAAACGATTTCTCGAGTTTTATAAAACGATTCTCGAGTTTTGTAAAACGATTCTCGAGTTTTATAAAACGATTTCTCGAGTTTTATAAAACGATTTCTCGAGTTTTATAAAACGGTTCTCGAGCTTTATTAAGCGATTTCTCGAGTTTTATAAAATGATTTCTCGAGTTTTATAAAACGATTTTTCGAGTTTTATGAAACTATTCCTCGGGTTTTATAAAACTGTTCTTTTTGTATTTTTGCGGGGAGTTTTGGCTATTAATTCCGTCGTACCGATTTTGACCCCAACATTGATATACTTTTGTCTAAGATTTTTGTTCTCGACTGCAACATTGGAATGATTATGCCGGATGCTTTGGTGAAAGAGCTTCTTCCCATATCAGAGATGTTTCCATATCTTTTGAAACATCTTTGGAATGGTGTTGAGTAGCTGCGATTCAAATCCAGGTCGAAAGATTACAATGTGTCCCACAAAATCCCCACCCTACGGACTCTGCCATCACTGCCTGTCTTTTGATTCAAACCCATGCGCTCTTTGGTACTGATTCATGTACTTCTGTCACTCCATATGCCATTCCTGTGGAAGCACAAAACGCAGCTGTCATGGTATACGAGTTGCATAAGAAGCTGTAGGAGTGGGTTCCTTGTTTAACTATCCGATTATATAATAATGGTTCTTAGGTTCTTCTCCTTTGGAGTGGTTGTAGTAAACTAAGTGTTTTGTAATTCTGAGTATTTGTCACTGTTTAATCTCATCCCTAATAATGCTTACTGTTGATGAAGTTTAATTGTTATGTTTAACTGTTATGGTTTATAATTTGTAATGCATATTTCGATTGTTAATTTTGTCAATGGAGCCTATCCCAAACCGGACCTGGACCCAAAAGCATAAATATCTAAACGGTTTTTATTAGGGCTGTGCAGCAAATCCGTAACCCGTAATGCGAAACCGAATCCGAACCAAAAAACCCTATCCATATCCGATTAGAAATGTAAAAAAATCATGAATCTGTCTTCTAAGGTGGTACATAACATATCCGAACCCGAAGTGTTATTAACCGAATCCCAACGGGTAACCCGAACAACCTGTAACCCAAAAAAATCCGAAACAATATCCTCATATACCGCTCCTAGTATCCAAATTATTATAAATAAAAATAAGTATATATTTTTCATGTTTTGCTTTGAAATTTTGGGTTTTTTTATGGGTATATCCGAACCGATCCGTTATAACCTCTATTTGTTCGATATATGATTCTTTATGAATTCTAGGATGTGATACAAACGTGACCCGAAACCTATGTGATTTATCCAAACCGACCCGTACTTGAAAATTTACTAAAAAGGAGTGGGAGTATTATCAAATAGAACCGAAATCCGAAAAACACGCCACGAACTGAAAGGGGTACTCGAATTCCCAGGCTTAGTTTTTTAGTTATATAAACAAAATAACTGTATCGAACCTGAACCAAAGGGAAAAATGAACGGAACCCCGATTAAATATTACTATTATATCCCACTAAATTATTTAATTTTCATTAAAATATTTGAAATATTTTTAAAACTTGATTAACCAGAAACTATATGACAAGCGAAAAACAATATGTATTTTTGATTACTAGATCAACATGTTACATATGAATAAGTAAAAAAGTCTCTTGTTTTCCTTATTTTTTTGGATTTTACTTTGGGTATATCCGAACCGATCTGATATAAACCGAATCCGAACGATACATGATTACTTTATGGGTTCTTGGATGTGATACAAACCTGACCTGAAACCGATGTGTTATATCCGAACCGGACACGTACTTGTAAATTTACTAAAAAGGGAGCTACAAGGTGTGATAAAATATAACCGAAATCCGAATTAAAATCCGACCCGAAAGCAAACGGGTACCCTAACGCCCAGACCTAGTTTTTATAGTTAAATATAGAAAATAACCGTAAAGAAACTGACATAAAGGGAAAAATTAACGGAACCTCGATTATATAATACTATTAAATAGTAACAAATATATTATATAAATAGATATATCTATTATAAGTATGCAAACTTAGTTTATGCTAACTTAATTACTACTAAATATATGAATTACCTGAAAGTATCCGGATACTTTCATTTAATTCTCCAAGGAATGTGGTATTAAATTTCACTCAATAATTAAATTTTTATTATAAATATTTCAAATTTTTGCGAAATTCGATTAATGAGAAACTATATGAAAAACGAAAAAGAATATGTATTTTTTGATTCCTAGATCAACATGTCAAACCAAACCGAACACGTTAGTATTGAAACCAAAACAAATTTAAATTAAGTGTAGTTGGTAATATATCCTATAACCCTATTCCTGAATCAAGTATTAACCAAATTAACCAATTCGACCCTATATACGAAACGCCCAGACCGAGTACTTATACATTTTCTAGTTTAATATAAGGTAACTGGAATTTTTAAAAGTGCATGTAACACACATTTCAAATTTTTTTTTTTTATATGTGATACACCAGCATCTACCCTTTTATACGGATTTATGGTTTCGGTTACCTATTTATTAAGTCGCATTCCCGTTTAACAATATGTACGCTTACCGTAGTTTATAACATATTCCTGTCTTGGTTATACGAGGTGTGTACTAATTTTGTAAGATGTATTTTTATTCGTCTTAGGATATGTATATCCTTAATCTTTTAATCCATCCGACTAAAGTCAAGAATTGCCGGTTAATGTTGTACTATATATATATTTTTTTTTTTACAATGCTTTTACCACACCAATATTTCATATAAAACATCCGGCTTTTCATATAAAACATCAGCATATCATACAAAACAACTAGTACCCCATTCAAACACATTTAAACATCAGCATACTAAGCCATCCTACGTCCATACCCGGTAAACCCAAGTGAAGCAAAATATTACCCATATCAGAAATGCATTACGACAATATAGATGCACCTTTCAGTTATTTATTAAACATAATGGGCTTCAGTTTCTTCATGCATCCCCAGATGCATCTTTAGTTCCATCATTATCCTTTTTATCCTCAACATTTCCCATCTCCAGCTTAACAACTAAGTGCAGTTGAGTTTTTACCACTGCCCCAGATGATGACTCACCTTTGAATACATTAATTTAAGGATACATATGTTAGATAATCGAATATACAGTTACGTAATGAAATATGGATTTAAACCTTTTTCCTGATAAACTTCACCACGGAATCCCTTTATTTTTGGGGTGGTGATGTCATCCACTCTTTCAACAACGTTTTTGAGCTCCGTTGAGGAAGCCGTTGATGAAACTTCGAACGAAATGACGTAACTAGGTCTAGGTTCAGGAATAGGGTAGCCATGCATATGATGTGTGTTAGTGTTTCCTATATTGAGGTCATTTGTGACGTATCCAACATATTCAGATCCACGAACTCCATAAATGCGTTGGAGCTCCATCGCATAACTAGATGACATCAAGTTTTCCCAATACCATGGTCTGACGTTTATGATATGCCACGGTGGGGTATAGAAAGGTGGTTGATACGTAGCATGATGAACATGTTGTGGCATGTCGCTTCCTGGGTTGAAAGCTTGATATCCTAGATAATGAAAGACAAAAAATGTTATAGACAATTCAAACAACTGTGGAAACACAAGTAACGTCGAATAGAGTTCTTGTAAGTGTTATTAAATATATATTTTCACAACACAATCATACCCAAATGTGGAGAAGCATTAAACGGAACATTAGGCCCAGTGATGTGGTTGTCAACCTCATGATTTCCAACATCTGGTACATTTTGTACGTGGGTGTCCACATTATCGATCCCAATATTAGGAACAATATGGTCGTCTATTTCGAGCATTGGTCCTAAATTTAGGTCAATGCTGTTTTTGGCCATTTCCATCTCCAAAGAGAAACGGTAAAGTAGTACCATTTCATTCTCATCAAATATGTGGTAGAGCATACGGTCACTGGAGAGTATCTCGTTTCCTCTTATAATATCTGTAAATACCATTGAAAATATATTAATATACTACATTTATCAGATCAAATACACATATTTGAGATGACCTAAAACGAGGGCCATGTGTTCCTCCTCTGTCACACCCTCGCCTAGGAATGTTAGAGTGCCGATGGTAAAAGGTGCTCGGCATCTAAAGTGGAAAGTAGCAACTTCCTCAGCACCAAAGATCACACATATGTGGGGTCAACATCACCTTCATGCACGGTCATCATCATATCCAAGTCTGTGTTAGTGAGGATCTTGTGTGGAGGCCATGTTTCTCCATTCGGCTCTAACATCCATTGAGGAAGTTGGAATGTCATATGCGGTGTCTGCGTGGGAAGATGGAAAACACCTCTAACAATATTCATAACTGATTCTACCTAATCAGCAGTCCCAACTAGTATGTGATGTGTTGGAACCGTATTATCCTGCTCGCACACCCAAACCCCATGCTGGGTCTTTGTCCACTGACCCTTAAATACATGCACAACACGAGACATCTGTGAAAAAATAGATAAACAACATCCGTGGGAGATGAAAGTAACCAATATCCTATTACAGTTAACCGGAAAAGAAATCTTCTACCAATTACCATAAAGAGATGGCAGTTATGTAGATTTTTTTTACTAAATAAACAAAAATAGAAAGGATTTAATAGATGAAAGCCAAATAATTCACCTTTTCGAATCTTCACCCCTGCTGCTACTTCCAGTTTGGTCAGACACTACCCGGTCGTAGTTAAGTTAGGTGGGTTTGTAAATCCTATAAGGAAACCACCTATATAAAGGAGAATGGAGGAATTAGAAACCGGTATCACAGAAACATGGACGTTAAAGGAGATAATGAATCCATATCTTCACATTAAATGCCGCAGGCTATCTAGGGCTAGGTTGACATCATAACCCTACTTTCTCTGACATGGCAAAACAAGTCTGGAATATTTTTTATTAATAAGGTCGTTGTCTGAAAATTCTATCACCATAAATACGTCTATTGTAACTACAGCTATGGGTAAATTTCCTTCAAAGATAGTTTTTTAACATGTGGTCCGTTATTGACCTTGATTAAATCAGAAATTCCACTATCATTGGTATTGAAAAATGGGATATGTATTTCTCATGATAATTACGTAACATATTTTTGGTTGATTATTTCTATAGTGGTTACGAAATTTCATATTATGTGCACGATTTTAATTTATCAGAGTATATTTGTAATTATTGGGATAAGTATAGAGTAATTTATGTTATTTATTAAGTTTATTGTCTTTTAGTATCTTTGAAGGTTATTCACATTTATTTTCATTGAAACCATGCCATATATATGTATTTCGAAGCTGATAACCTGCATTATAAATTACCGTTAATTTATTTGTAATATCCACAATAGTCTACTAATAATCCTATTTATTGTTAATTGCATACGTATAGGCATCGTTTGTATGAGATATAAGAGAGGTTTTATATCGAATACCAATCGTAATGGTCATTTCTATGAACAAAGATATAATGTTGTGCTAATGTGTAAGAAAATTTAAAACTCGGTCTTTATTTCGTTTGTTTCCACTGTATTCTGTAGGTGTATGAGTTTTGGGTTATCGGTTTGGTTCAGGTATTTATGGTTTCTTGGAATTCGGTTAGGTTGATTTTACATATATGTGGGTACCTGTTTGGGTTTTGTTTACGAGTTGGTTCGGTAGCGGAGATTTCAGATATTTATACATAAGAACTGTTATCATGAAATAGAGGTTTGGGTCGTTGCTGGTTTTGGATATTTTGCATCGGCCGGGTACGGTTTGTATCGTCGGTATAGGTTTTTTTTACGAGGTCTAGTAACCGGTATATTTTTAATAAATTCTGATCTCACATAAAAATTGAGGACTTTCTATGTAATGCTAATTACAAACTTCTGCACCCATATGTACGTATTATTATAATTTGAAGGACACAACGTCGATCATATCTATCCATTTAATGTGTGCAGTCTATATATGTGTAGACTAACATCATTACTTCTGTTTATGACATGAAAAAATACTTATATTATGTTAATTATTTCTTTAGTTTATATCCTTGCGGTTGTAATAACATTTACGTAGTCTTTTATTTACCTGCAGAAAATAGCTTCAATAGTAAGTTAACTACACAACGTGGTTGTTAAGTAACCATGTTTTCATTTTTGAATTAGTGGTTCTTTTAATAATACAAAAACAATTGGGTGAAGGGAAAACAGCGACTCGGCTTGTCTCTTTTGTGTTACGTTTTCACGATCAACTATATCTAGAACCCAATTGCCTTCGCTTTTAGTCGGAATACAGTTAGGTCATTTTCAATGTTTTGTTCAAATAACTAATTATTAGGTTGCTATTTCACTCCTTTTTACGTATATTATCACTAAGTTACGTTAATGGATCATATCTCCACGTACTCTGTTCGATATTATGAACCCGTTAGCTTGTAAAGAATAGCACATATTTATTATCCGAATGTGGAAAATTATATCCGGATTTTATATTTTTTTTCGGATTCTGAACAGTTGAACATATACACTAACTCACCTAATGCTGTATTTTTTCAATGTTTTAATCCCTTCTCTACTATTTCTATGTTACAAAAAAGGTATGATGTTGTAATTTTACGACAATGTAAGTTGTGTTATGAAGTATTTAGTGGATGAGCCATAACTATTAGATAGATTAGGACTAGCCCAATGGTCGTGTGACCCAATAGTCTAGGCGGCTGGTCCCTTTTTCTTTTCTATGTATTTCCAATTCCTTGTTACTTTAGGAATTGGATGTTTTCCATTTATCTTGTTCTTGTATCCCATATATATATGGAACCTCTAAAGCATGAATAAGACACAGATTTCATTATTCTTTACAACACGTTATCAGCACGAATTGCTCTGGTAATTCAAGCAAAGAAATCTGACAAGAAATCAAAACCCTAGTTCGAGCTCTCTCTCTCATCCGACCAGCCGCCTCGACCAAGTTTCCTTTTTCTGGTGGAAGCCCTAGCCGATAGCAGAACCAGACCGTTCCAGCCGCACGAGAATTTCCTTTTTCTCGTCCAAGAACCCTAGACGACCCGGTGATCCGTTCGCGGTCTTCTCTCCTGTTCTTGGTGGTCCGGTTACTTTAAATCTGCACAAGAAAAGGTATACACATTAATCTGAGAACATAGAAACAATCACCATAGATTTTTAAGATTATTTTTGCTAAACCCTAAAATTTGAATGAACTAGAATTTGATTCTCCCTTCTACCTTTCTTTCACCCTCATCTTGAAATCAATTCCAAATTAATCCTGTTTGATTGTTTCTGTGATCATACCTGAGAATTTTAAAACCCTAAATTATGGAATTGTAACCCTAAACCCTAAAATCGGTTTTTAATTTGTTTTTGATTGTTTAAATTGTTTGTTTGAGGTTTAGGATTGTTAGATTGATTGTTTAAATTAAGAACCTAAATCCTAAAGGCCTTGAAACCTTTTTAAGATCATAAGGCCGTGAAACCTTAAACCCTAATCTGTTTTAAGATTGATTGCATAAAAAGTTTTTTTTTTAAGAAAACTGATTTTTATGATTATAAAAGTTTTAAAAACCTGTTTTAAGAATTTTAAAACTTCTTTGAATGATTTTATGAAAGTTTTAACTCTGATTTCAAGTTTTAAAATTTTTAAAAGTTGATTGGATGATTGTTTTATATCAGCCGCCTGTTTTAAAGTTCTTGGGGCCTTGAAAACCCTAATTTTTCTTGATTTTAAAATTTGACCTAAGGGCCTTGAAACCCTAATTACCACAATTAATAAAATCAGGGGGAGAATTAGTATGTTTGATTTTGTTTAATTGTGTGATTGAATGATTTTAAGAATTGCATCATATTGTTGAATTTGGTTGCATTCATATTGTTTAATAAATCCGACCAGCATATGTTTTTAATGTCATCTCACCCATTCCGACCAATGCTGAACCATATGAGTTTTGAGTGATCATAATGGTGTGTTTTTGTTTGTCTTCACAATGATCATTGTAGTTACAAGTATGGTTTGGTTTGTGGTTGTAAAGTAGTCAAGGAATCACAAGTTTTTATGAAACCCTAATGTGTGTGGTTTATGTG